TGGGGGGGAGAGAGAGAGAGAAAGAGAGAGAGAGAGAGAGAGAGAGAGAGAGAGAGAGAGAGAGAGAGAGAGAGAGAGAGCGAGAGCGAGCGCACAAGAGAGCACTTTAAAAGAAAAGCTCACAGAGATTTCTTCACTCTAAGGTTCAGTTTCAACTTATTTAGCATCTGGATCTAAGGGCATGGACAAGCTCTTCACAGTAGAGTTTTGGAGCTACTGTTTTCTAAATTTCTGTATGCATACAGAAGTGATGAATAATGTCTATCCACCTCATAACTATGTTTCCCCCTCTTCGGACCACTGAGTGCATACTTAAGGATCAGCTTGTACCACAAACCCAAGGTCAGCACAGTCAGCATCATGGAGCTCCCAGGAGCGCTTCACTGTGCCTTGCCCTATGGCTAACCTCATGAGATGGCTTGCTTCCCTGACTAGGCTCCAAAACTCCAGAAGAGAACGCTTCGTTTTCCCCTGACACAGCTTTTGCATTCCCAGGGCCCTCGCTTTGTTCCTTTCCAGGGAGGGAGAGGTGGTTTATTTTAGCAGGCTATTTCTCTGTGGCTCTTTGCTCTAAAATGGAAAATTTATGTGTCTATGCCAGGGTACTGTGGGGTCAAAGCCTGGTCCTGGTCCTGCTCTTACCACTAGCTAGATGTGTGGAGTAGGCTAGCCCATTAGTTCTGATTTCACTGTCCATACTGAGAAACAGAATTGGGGCAGATGGGAATATTCTAACATGATTCTAAGTGATGTAAAAGCTTACCCTTAAAAAGTGAGCTGGTATCTAAAAAGACGAAGCTTTAATCTCATCCATTGGGAAAAATTGTGCATTTGAATGCAGACTCTTTACTACAGTAGCCTTGTCTTTACTTGTCTGTATGTGTGTGTGATATGTACATGTGTTTGTGTGCATACATATGCACATGAATATGCGCTTGGATGCAAAGGTCAGAGTTTGACATTGGGCATCTGCCTTTATTCCTTCTCACCTTACTTTTTGAGACAGCATTTCTCACTGAACCCAGAGCTCACCAATTCAGTTAGTGTGTCGGACCAGTGAGCTCTAGAGATCCTCTTGTCTCTGCCTCCCCAGCCCTTGGATTGCAGGTGAGTTCTGCTGCACTGGGATTTTTTTTTTTTTTATATGAGCACTAGTAGGAACCCTCACTTTCATACTCACACAAGTACTTCTGGTTGGGATCCTTAGCCTATAACAGCCGAGCTACTTCTACAGCCCCAGTCTTGTTTGTTTGTTTGTTTGTTTTTTTTTTGGTTTTCTCTAGACAGGGTTTCTCTGTGTAGCCCTGGTTGTCCTGGAACTCACTCTGTAGAGCAGGCTGGCCTCGAACTCAGAAATCCACCTGCCTCTGCCTCCCAAGTGCTGGGACTAAAGGTATGTGCCACCACTGCCCGGCCCAGTCTTGTCTTTTCAATCTTCTGTTATGTTTAATACTAAGTACAAGTCTTCAGGCAGCACACCCTAAAGGGATTGAGAAAGTACAGAGTTTAGTAGACTTGCTCCTTGTCAAGACAGAGTAGACAGACACTAGCTCCCTGTACGTTTCTGGATTCAGTATGATCACTGACTGATAAAGGGCAACTGTAATCTGAAACAGCACATATAGAAACAAAGAACTGGGATTTTTTTATTTCAAATTTCTGACTTTTTTTTTTTTTTTTACTGGTAATAGTAAACAAAAGACAGTAGTTTTTTTTAAAGCCTAGTACAGTGTTTCCATTTCTAGCTTTTGCTGATCAGTGCCTCACTATACTCCCTCACAAGGCAACCCTTCTCTCCTTGGCTGATCGGGCTATCACTATGTAGACCAAGCAAAAAGCCAAGTACAATGATTCTCTATCAAGCAGTGACAAAACGGAGGGGACATCTCAGAAGTGCTTAAAAGGAAGTCTGAATAAACCACATACATAAAGTGTACAACCTATCTACATAAAAATGCATAGTACAGGAGGGTATGGTGGTGCACATCTTTAATCTCCGTACAGGCAGAGGCAGGTGGATCTCTGTGAGTTTGAGGCCAGCTTGGTCTACATAGTGATTGACAGGTCAGCCAAGGTTACATAATGAAAGGCTGTGTCTCCAAAAAAAAATCTATATTACATTTTTATCCTAAAAACAACAAAATCCACTATGATAATAACAACACATTTTTGACAGAATCTTGACTAGGTAGGGAAACAGACAGAAGCTATTGGAGACATTTTTCAGTTCCTATTTCTCCATCCTTTCTTGCTAAAATATCCTTTCTTTGACCTGTGGCAACATTCCAAGGTAATGCTGAGTCAAGACTGGCATGAACTTGTCACCATGCTGTCCTCTGCCCAGCCCCCCACACACTGAGAAGTAACCATATGGTCCAGTTCTGACAGGGATGGAGGCCAAAGAAACTAGATCAGAGAGGGCCTTGAAGTCCACATGGCAGATTCTGAAACTTGCCCTTTAATCAAGGATAATTAAAATCAGTACTGTGAACAGCTTGGCCAAAACCACGTATGTAGCTGATAATTGGAGGTTAGGTTTTGTTTATGTTTTTTATATTGTATATAACCCAAACACTAGTTATGAATGAGTGTTAGAAATAAAGAAATAATGACAACTGACCAAATGAGGCAATGTAACAATACATTTTGTATGAATTGAGAATATTATGGGCAATTATTTTTATTATTAATAAACAATCTTCATATTTGAATTAGGATTGCTCTACATAAATTCATAATTTTAATTCCCACACTGAGGCACTAAGAAATTCCCCAATTCACATCTCCTGCCTGTGCTTTTCAAAGAAAGGCCTCGGTTTTATAGATGATTGAAGAAACTATATGATTCTGTATTTCAGAGTGTTAGTTTCACACATGGTATTCGACAGATACAAGAGAACCTATGGCTACAAGCACAAAGTCTCCAGGCTCTGTAGTAAACTGCTGACTCAGTCAACATGAGACCATTACTTTGGGTAACGCTTCTGGTTGCAAGTGAGGGAGGGCATTGCTATGAGACCATTTTTCAAATTATATATTATAATCAGCTGGGCAGTGGTGGCGCACGCCTTTAGCCCCAGTACTTGGGAGGCAGAGGCAGGCGGATTTCTGAGTTCGAGGCCAGCCTGGTCTACAGAGTGAGTTCCAGGACAGCCAGGGCTACACAGAAAAACCCTGTCTCACCCCCCCCCAAATATATATATATATAAAATAATCAATACAAACAAAATTAAAACTGGAAAAAAACATGCTGTGTAGTATACAAGGTTCATTTTGTAGTATTTGAGTATATGTATACACACATAAATATACATATAAACTATACACACAAATGAAGAGACATACACAGCATAGCACACATTGTTGGTTTCCTTGTGCTACGTAACAGTCAGGAAAGTTTGGCTTTTGTTCCTATAGAGGAACTGACCCTTTGTGCACGAACTGTGCTGTGTCTCCTACAGAGTGAGATCAAGCCATTCTTGCTTTCGTGAGAGGTTCCTGTCTGGTGGCGTGGGCACACATGGCTCTGTAGGTTGGGGAAACGGTGATAAAAATGAACATACAGACAAGCTGTCACTGTCCTGCAGGACATACTGAATCTCTGTTAACGTTCCTCAGGATACCCCTTCATGTCTCTGAATCCATTCTGGGACGACTGTGCTCCATCTGTGTGGTGTTATAACAAGCCTTAGAAATAAAGAGAAAAAATATGAGTATTGCAAGTCTTATTTGATTAGATCTTCTCATCCAAAACGGTAAAGCCAAGAATGTTAACTTTACAAGGATTTTTGAGGCAAAAATTCTGCTTTGTCCACAGACAACACCGAATCAAGTCCTCCTGTTTTAATACTTGCATCAAATTTTAAACCCATCAGAAGAAATTAGACACCCTCAACAGTTAATGAAGACTCAGTGAGTTCGGATGCTGAGAAAAAGCGACTACTGAGTGCTCAGCTATAAACAAGACATATACATAGAGAACTAACCTGCCTTCCAAGGTTCAGAGAACACTGAAGGAGAGAGGGCAGAAGGAATTGAAGAGCCAGAATATGGGGAGGGATGTGGAACACTCTTTTGGATTTGAGATGGCTATTGTACCAGTGAACTCACTGCAGCTGTGGTTTCTTGGACAGGACCTGCCCAAGATGGGGTCCTCCAGCACCCTATCATGATAAGGAGGGTCTCCTGAAGCTCCACTCCTCCTGAGGAACTATTTGCAGCTAATAGTGTCAGGAAAATGGTGGTATTTTCTGTAGTGGTGCAGCCACTGGCAAGTTAGTTGTCTGTGCTCTGTTAAATACTCCCTGCATATGCTCACTCATCCCTAACTAAAGGCAGTGTGGCAGAAAAAAGGACAAAAGAATTTAACAACCCAAGTAACCAGAGAAAACTACGTGAAAATCAGAGGCCATGTCCTGGCAAGAATGGCTCTGTGGGAGTGTGAGGGTGAAGAGAAACGGTCTTGGGTGCTTGGAATGGCCAAGTTTGTGATACACATGTGCATAATAGTCAAATAACGGAAAACGGGAGGGCTAGCTGCCCAGTATCATTCACAATTGGTATGGATTCTTGACTGCAGCTGGCTGCAGTATGGTTCCTGTTTTTGAGTGTCACCTAGATGTAGGGGAGAAGTATCCTACCTTCAATCTACTTAATGAAATGGATTATTGAAGGAAGCATAGCTGAACTGTTTGGATATTCAAGAAAAAACCTGATGCATACATATTATTCAGTTTTGTTGGAGAAAACATACCTTTTCAGGTAAAATATTTAATTACTGAAATAAGTAAAATGTAAAATGACTGAGCTCTCTGACCAAACAAGAAATGCTTCTGAGAACTTATTCCAAGAATGTAATGCAAAAAGAAGACCAACAGTATGCACAACGTGTGTGTGTGTGTGTGTGTGTGTGTATGGGTGAGAGACAGAGACACAGAGAGAGACACAGAATGAGAATCAGAGATACAGAGAAAGATGCATGCACACATCCTATGACTAGTGTTATGTGGATTTGACAGAGGCTAGAGTTACCTGAAAGGAGAAAACCTCAATTGAGAGAATGTCTCCATAAGCTCGGGCTGCAGACGATAGGGCATTTTCTTAACTAGTGATTGATGGGACAGGGCCCAGGCCATTGTGGGTGGGGCCGTTCCTGGCCTGGTCCCAAGTTCTATAAGAAAGCAGGCTCAGCAACCAGTAATGAGTAAGGCAGTAAGCAGCAGCCCTCCATAGCCTCTGCATCAGCCCCCGTCTCCAAGTTCCTACCCTGCGTGAGTTCCTGTCCTCACTTCTTTTGATGATGAACTGTTATATGTAACTATAAGTAAAGTAAATCTTTTCCTCTCCAAGTTGCTTTTGGTCATGGTATTTGATTACAGTAATAGTAACACTAACTAAGACAGATTCCAACACATATAGATTTGGGGGGGGGAGGTAGGTATCAATAGTAACACTTGTAACAGCAGCAAGTAATACAAAACAAATAGCAAATGGCTCAGTAATGTTATGTGGACTGGGGCTATTACGGCAGATAGTTACAGTAATATTTGCTGAGTGGAAATTATATTTCAAATTCAGTGTAGGAAAATACAAATTCTTGATAATACAAATTGCATTTTTCCATTTCTTATCCTTTTATCTGGTATCAGCTCCAGGATATCTTGGTTCTACTCTAAAACATCAACGCCAAGTTTTAGATTTCACCCTGGGGTATAAAAAAAGAACTCAGCCTTTGATCTTCTAATGGCAGTGACACTTAGCTTCATTATATAATATTCTCTACAAAGCTGCATGAAACAACACTAAAACCCAGAAATCATGACTGAGTTCCCAGTGTGCTCACGGCATCTTGTAAGACAGGGAGTGACATGAACGTGGTTATCATTTCTTCCCTTTTGCTTTGCCATAAAAACGCTTACAATCAGCATGTTTTTATAATGAGATGAACGTAAAAACTTTTGAAAGGAACTTGGATGCCCCTGGTGTCAAGATTGTGTTGTTTGTGACAGCTAGATTAGGTAATGATGACATCTTGCTTCAAGCTTCAGGTTTGAATTAGGACTGAACTACATGCATAGCTTCCTGTAGCTTTCCCTTTCTGGGTCATTTATGGTTGCGATAATTAAACCTCGACCTTTTTTATTTACCTATCAATTTAATTACCTTGTCATGATGATGACTATATATTCTTATAATGAAGACTGCTAAACAGAGTTATGCAAAGTAAAACCACCCAGAAGGGTCAACGTCTGACACGTTAGAAAGGCCTCCCTGGCTAGCTGAGGCTCAGGGCTAAAACAGGCTGTGCTGAGGATGCTTCTGGCTGGAAGAACTAGGAAAGGTAACGAACGGATTACTATAAATAGCACAGTTACTTATCTGTGCAACAGAAGGCTACCATAAATCTTGGGACAGGAAAAGTAAATCTGCTTCCAAGTGTTGTATCTTTTAGTATTTCTGTTATTATTATTTTACATCCAGAACAGAAATAAGATAGACTTCAGGTGAACACTTCTCACCTACCTCTAGAATCTAGAGTCTAGGTGCAGGCAAGGAAGGTGTTTGTGGTGTGTGTGTGTGTGTGTGTGTGTGTGTGAGAGAGAGAGAGAGAGAGAGAGAGAGAGAGAGAGAGAGAGAGAGACTCTGAGACTGAAAGAGAGAGAGACAGAGAGTCCCATACATGGACAGGTACTATCTTGTGGGCTTATAGCACATGCTGCTACATGCCAGCTCTTATTGGCCCTTGTGGCAGATAAGAAAGGGACTTGAGGAGGCATGGGAATATGACTAGAGCTCCCACTTAGACAGATATGAAGGCCAAATTTCAATATATCACATAGTCACTAGTAGGGAACTAGGTCTAAGTCTCGGCCATTACTGAGAAGATAGATACTGGTATCCAGGCACTTAAAAGCCACCCACCCCTCAAAGCCTCTTATTGGGACAGGAAGAGGACCTGGTCTCTCTTAGATGAGTAGTTCTGGCTCAAGGTTATCATTTATGAAAGCTGAATAGCCCTAGGCTGCATTGCAGGAAGCCTACCTCCATCAGAGTAACATATGGCGTGGGTGGGAGGGCAGGGCTGGGAGGGGGGGTGGAAGGCGGGGCTGGGAGGCGGGGTGGGGGTGGGAAGGCAGGGGTGGGATGGAAGACTTGGTAAGGATTATTAGTATTTATAAAAAGAAAATTCAACATGGTCCTAAAATTTCCTCAAAGGGCTTCCTGCCTGTGGGAAGGACAGTCAGCAATAGTCAGGCTGCCCAGGTGGATAGGATGGTTAGTGAGAGAACTGCTGAGGAGAGTCAATGTCATTCTTAATGGTGACTGACTGTGGCCTACAGCAGGTTTGTCTCACCCTAAACTTTGCTACGTTCTTCCTTGCTGTTGAGGTCTATGATGCTTTTTATTGAGTCAGCTGACTGTGACATTTCATCTGTGTTAGCCACAGGTTTTTTCCTTTTTCTGAGGCAGGGTGTCACTCTGTAGCCGAAGTTATCATTGAACTCGTGACTTCCTGCCTCATCTAAACTGTGTGTGACACAGGCATGCATTACCAGTTCAGCCTAGGAATCATTTTAATTGCTTCTTAAGGATTTATTTTTATAACACTTGGGTGTGGTGACACATGCCTTTAATCTCAGAACTAGGGCAGCAGAATCAGGTTGGATTTCTGTGAGTTCAAGGCCAGCCTGTTCTACATAGTTCAAGGCTAGTCAAGGCTACATAGTGAGACCCTTACTTAAAATAAATTATTTTTTTGTTTTTTAATTTGTACACACATGCATGTGCATGGAGGGGCGGGGAATACATATTCATACAGGTGCTACCAGTGGCCAGAAGAAAGTGTCAGATTTCCTGGCAGCTTTAAGCAGGAAACTGAACTCTAGTCCTCTGCAAGAGCAGCAAGAGTTCTTAACTGCTGAGTCATTTTCTAACTCCCATTTTAATTCTTATGATTCAAATCTAGCAGCAGTCAGAGCTAGAGATTTGTCCTCCCGCCACTATTTCTTCCTTCTTCTTCTGGATTCTTTATACTTCTGACCTGCTTTCTCTATAAAATTTTTTTAAAAACCAGGTCTCGACTAGGGGTTCTTCAACCATGATGGAGTATATGATTGAGTTCTGGCCAATCGCATGCCATCTCTCTGGCCATAGTAATAGCTTTAGCAAGTCATGTGATCCAAGAAGCATCAATGTAAAAAATCTCCCCTGGATCATTTTAGCTGAGTTAAGTTGGAAAATTATTTTTTGAATGACTGTTGAAGGCTACCAGGCAGTGGTAAATCCCAGCACTTGGGAGGCAGTGGCGGGGCAGGTAGATCTCTGAGTTAGAGGCCAGCATGGTCTACAGATTGAGTGCTAGGATGGGCAGGGATATACAGAGAAGCCCTGTTTTGAAAAAAACAAAACATCAAACCAGAAAACAAAACTGTTGAAGGCTGGGTATATAGCCTAGTGATGCTAAGCAAAAGCGTTAAAATCTGGATTTAATCCCCAGCGCCACAAAACCAAACCTGTATAAAATAAATTATTTTTTTCTAGGAAGTAGTAAAGATAACGCAGGAACATCTGGCTCCCAAATTTATCCAATAACAGCAATTGGTAAAAGGGTAAACTATCATTTCATGGTGGATGCCAACAGCCTGATTTCAAAATAAACTCAATCAGAACTGTAGCAAAGCCCTGAGGACACAATTCTAGCCTCTTACTCCACCTGAGCCTAGAGTTGTTGACACCTCTGGATTTTCTTTGCACTGGAGCCTGATTTAGGTGGCTTTCTACATCTTTCAGAAAAGTTGTATTTGCAAAACAGAAACTTTGTGAAAATATTTAAGAGAATAAAGCAAAGGCAGAATTCCAAATATACCAGAATCAGCATTACAGGCCCTTGGTCAGCCTCCTGCTATGAGTTTAAGTAACATTCAAACCACTAAGAGATGTAACAAAGATAAATATTTCCAAACCTAAAGCTATCTAACAAACAAAAGGATCAAGATCCAGCCAGGCACTGAATGTCTGACTCTGAGTTATTCTCAAACAAAGTATGAATGAATGTAGTTCTTGTGACATTTGTGCACACCATTCTTGGTATGCAATCAACTGTTGTTAATATTCTTCTCCTTCACCACACAATTTGATAGAACAACATTTACCATTTTGCTTCTCTAACTCTTGCTTGACATCTTCAAACACTTGAGAGAAGAGGTCCTCTTCAGACCTTGTTCCATCCAGGTAAACTGAAAAGTGAGAAATAGCAGTTCAAATGTTGACAGGCTGATTAGTAAAGGATGCTTTGGCATTTCTTTAAAACACCAATAGCTTTCTTTGGTGACAGCTATTGGTGTTTGGGCCTAAGGAAGGAAGGAGGGAAGAAATGAAAAGCAAAGAGAGAGGTTAAATGCTGTACATATGGTACACACTGCATATGTATTTCTTCTGCTTTGGGACATTCCCTCCTAGAGGGTAAAAGGAGGCTTGTAAGACTCCAAAGTAAATGAACTTATTGGCTCATTGAACTCCTGAGAGTTAGAATCACAAGGACCCTTCCAGAGGTTCCATTAGCAGTAACAACTGCTGGGGCAGAAGATTCTCGCATGCCCAGAGCAGCCAGAAGGTTGTACAGGCAGCTGCAGGGATGTCGCTTTTGTGAGGCATCACCGTGGATGGGGAGGTAGGCTATTTGGTGATGCAACTGCCTCTGAGTCACCACGCTCCTGTCTATAACTCTAGTAACTCACAAGTTCACTAAGCCAGACATGGACAGTATCCCTGGTCTGTCCTTGGTGCCTTACTGTCATACAATAGCATGTCAGGAGGCCCAAAGAGGAGCAATTCCCCAACTGGGATCAACTGGGATGCTTTTAAACTCTGTGTCAGTCTAGACTCTTATCACACACTACTGAGACCAGAAGATACATCTTTTTAATAAAACTCACACGAACACTTTTGGAGAAAAAGAAGTTACCTGGGTTAAAGAAAAAAGAACCCTCTAGTTATAATAAAGGAAGGATAAGGAGGTCTGAAGAGGATTTGCCTGTTGGGAAGTGTTAGAGGCTTAGCAGCAGGGGGACGAACAACCTGAGAGATGATGTTTTGGAGAAAGGCTGTGCCCCTGGTGTCTGTTTAGATTTTTTTTTTTTTTCTGGTTTTTCGAGACAGGGTTTCTCTGTGTAGCCCTGAGCCCTGGCTGTCCTGGAACTCACTCTGTAGACCAGGCTGGCCTCGAACTCAGAAATCTGCCTGCCTCTGCCTCCCAAGTGGTGGGATTAAAGGTGTGCACCAACACTGCCCGGCGTCTGTTTAGATTTTTATCTCCAAAAGCAGGAAACCACAGTGTGACTGAATTTAAACAGGATGTCTGAATATTGTTGTGATGAAACACTCTAACCAAAAACAGCTTGGGGAAGAAAGGGTTTATTTGGCTTACACTTCTAGATCACAATTCACTGAGGAAAGTCTGGGCAGCAGGAACTCAGGGTACCCGTTCTAGGAGCCATAGAGAAATGCTGTTCACGCTTACTCCCTGGCTCTCTCAGCTAGACTCCCAGTACATCCCGGACCCACCTACCTCGGGTGGAATGCTCACTATGAACTAGCCCCTCCCACAGCAATCATCAGGCAAGACAATCTGTCACAGATGTGGCCACAGGCTAATATGCTCTAGGCAGTAACTCAATTGAGCCTCCCTCAGAAGACTCTACTGTGAAGTTGACAGCTGACATTAACTAGGACACAGAGCAAAGACAAAGCTAGACTTGCAGTTTAGATGGAGGAAGCAAAGGGCAGGCATAAAATGATGTTTTGTCTATTCAGCACAGTAGCTGCTGGTGCAGGCATAACCCAGATACAGTTCTAAGATGGACTCTGCCCTCTCTGCACATATCAGAACAAAGCTGTCTTCCCTGGAGGCCATCAGGTTCCTTTCCCTATGGGTGAGTCCCCTTTGTTCTGAAAAATATGCCAATCTGATTCCTCTGCCCTGTCCAAGAGACACATGCCACCGTCTCCACATAGTCTCTTAGCCCAGGCCCAAGTACTCATATTGTCTCCAAATCAGTACCTTGTCTGTAAGGGATCTCAATCTTATCCTTCAAAACATACATGTAGTCCTTCCTCCCATATCTACAACCTCTTCACGTTTCCTCTCCCCAAATAACACCTGCTGGTTCCCGGGGTGTCTGTCATCTTCAACACTTTCCCACCCCAGTTCTACTGATACCTGTGTTCAATACAGTGGCCTCTAATTCTACCCTCCAGGTCTCAAGAGATCTTACTGAGAAGAGTATGTGTCAACCATGACCACGTTTTACGCTTATCTGTAGAGAGATTCCTAACTCTCTTCTGATATCCTACTGGCATTAGAGGGCCTGGCCCTTCCTGTATCAGCATCAGCAGCACATCCTTCCCTTGTTTTCCTCTACTTCAAACACACTAGCCTCCTTCAGGTATTACACATGCCTTTTGTTCCTAGGTCTTTTCTAGGTTCGTCCTATGGTCTGGATGACAGTCATTCTCCCTAACTTAACTTTGCTCACCTCAGTCCAGCTGAACTCATATGAGTTTGATTACAAGGAGCTTTCTCAAGGAACTTGGAGGTGGGCAGTCTGCCAGCCGCCTAATGTCAGTGTTTATCTAGGGAAAAGGCCGGTTTGTAAAGCTCACACTTTTCATAGTCTTTCACCATGACATCTCAGCTGGGAAGAGTAGAGACTGGGTCTGCCTTGCTTACCTTCCATTGCCATGGGCAACATTCAGGCTCAGAGGGTTCAATGAATGATCCATCACTTGAAATCTGACAAGCTTGACAAAAACTGCCAGTTGAAAAAGAAACCAGCAAGAACCAGTTGCAGAAGAGGGGAACCCGGAGAGTACCCAAGCACCTCGTTAAAAATTCCTTAAGAAAACTGATTTCTAAGTAATCTTTCCTGTGCATTGATGTGAAAATAAGAATCTAAAGGCCTTAAAGGGGAGAAGGGTACTTACCAATGTCCCAGGTGATGGAGTCCATCTCCTGTCTGTGCTTTAGGTACATGGGCCACACGTGGCCATCGAAGTACCCTGGAGGGTCTGGAGGCTCATAGACTCTCGTACTGGAAAAACATACAGGAAACAGGTTATGATTGACAAAGTAAACAGATCATTGGTCAAGAGAATGTGAAAATCATTCAGGTTAAATCTAAAGAGGAATTCAGACGACTTGTTTTAGCCTCGATTGTAGTGAGAAAGGCAGCAAAAGGAATTTAGTTCCAAAACAATCCAAACAGTAAACCTGTAATTCACTTTCTCATAATTATCTTTTCTCTGCCTCTTGTGTCTTATAAAAAAAAGTTGTGGGATAAGTACAAGAAGAAATAAGCAGAGAGATACTGACAGGCTGGCCTACTCTCCTATCTAGCTGCTGTTCTCTGCAGCTAGAGCAGACCATGTCATGAAGGGTGAGGGACGAGGAGCTGACAGGATGCCAGTCTGTCTTCCCTGAACGTTGATGTGAATGAGAAGTAAAAGGCCTGAAGGAGGAAAGGTACTTACCAATTTCCCGAGTGACGGTGTTCATTTCCTACCTGTGCTTTAGGTACATGGGCCACATGTGGCCATCCAAGTACCCTGGGGCGCTGACAGGATGACACTGGCCCTTTTTCTTAGAGAAGTTACTGTAACTGTATACCACCCTATGTGAGGAGCACTTATTTAGATAGTTTCCAGACATACCTCCTCCTCCTCTTACATTCTTCATATGGAACGGTCAGGAAGTAGCTTCTGTTCCATATGCTGTCCAGAGGCCTACGATGACGCCATACTCAGGTCACTAGGCTCTTCCTGCTCTCCACCAGCATCCCTTTTCCACACTAGCACCCTCCTCCCACCCCCACATCCCTCCTCCACCTCCACATTCCTTCAAGTTGGTATTACAGTGGGGAAGCGTACTTGTAATTAAAGAGAAGGAAACCTTCGATAATTAAAATGGGAACCCCTTGAGCACTTTCCAAGGCTGCTGGTCCCTCGGAGCTTCCTGGGTTCTCCATCCAACAGGAAACGGCTGACATCATTTTTTCCATGTTAAGAGCTTCAAGCACTGAGGAAAACATAAGACACATGGAATTAATATAGCAAAGTTTTTCTAGGGGGAGGATTGGCTCTTTGTGATAAGTGTCTCCAGGGCTCTGTACAAGGTGTTTGAGAGACATATGTGTGTTAGTCTGTAACTCCATGCAATGTGCACACGGTGGTTCCTTATTAGTGACCATGCTATTGGGTCATTATCCTACTATTAAAATTCTTTGTCTACTTCAGAACTGGAGAAAAGGTGATTTGCAATTATTTGATGTTTATAGGTTCGCCTGCTTGCTTTTTGGAAGTGCTTATTCACATTCTTCTAGAGTTTTTCTTTCTTATTGAAGTGTTATCTTTTTTATTAGCAGCTTACGGGAACTCCCCAATGAATATGAACACATATGCTTTGAGACTGTTGACATTGTTTTTCATTCTTTATAAAATGTTTTCTAACTTTCAGAATAATGAAAGAGAAGGAACAATGAATCAAGGTTGAAATGACAAAGAACAACAAGGAATGGACATGGTCTGACACTTACTATTTGTAAGAACTGGCACCGAACACTGAATTCTCAGACCCTCAGAGTTAAAGACAAAGAACATACATTTTAGGAGAGTCCCTTCTGTTGGTCTGCACACATACTAAGGATAGCTGTTAACTGTAAAAGAGTAAGAACACAAACTCTATTATGCTAGTCTCTCTACAGGAAAATAAATGCTTTCTGGGTGACGTTAATTCTTTGGCTTCCAAACAGAATTAGCCTGGGTCAAGAGAATGAAGTGAGTTTAAAATACATTTCAAAATTTTCTAAGTAGTAAAACAAATAAGCAAGCTTCTAGGGGCGTGGCTATCAGGACGGGAAGCTGGACTCATGAAAGCTTCGTCTGATGTAGATGAAATGTTCTGGTGGGTGAGACTCCAAGTATTTGGCATGGCTAGCCACATATGCCCCGGTCAGGAATGGACAGATGGATGGCAAACCTACTGTGCCTTAGCTTCTGGAAAAACATCTATCATTCCAGTTTTGAGTTTGAAATATAAATCTGTGGGAAATGTTCTATATACTTAAATAGTTGAACAAAAATTTTAAAAAATCTACAGAGGCAGGCTTAAAGTATAGTTATCTTTAAACATTCAGAATTTAAATTGTATGTGTGGGGGTGGGGTGGGGCAAGAGTGTGTGATGTGTTAGGGTGTGTGTGTGTGCATTGCCATAGCATACTTGTGGAGACCAGAGGGTGTCTTTGTGGAGTCAGTGTTTCCTTCCACCTTTACAAAGGTTCTAGGAAATCAAACTCAGGTCATCAAGCTTGTGTGACAAGTGCTTTTACCCATGGGGCCTTCTTGGTCTCCCTATTTAAACGTTTAACATTATGTTAATATAGAGAGTTGTTGTTTGGATTTGCAAAAGAAAATGAATGTAACTTCATAATATTCAACATGTGACTGTACTTACCATCATACTGCAAAAAACCATTTTCATCTATGTCTATCTCAGACTCTGGCTGGAAAAAAAAATAAAAAAAGAAATCCATCAAAACAGTATGGAGGACAGAAATGGTGCAATTATACAATTAAAAAGACATGCCTTTAATAAATTCTTTGGAAAATGAGGAACAAGATCAAAGGTGGTCACTGACAGATGGTGCCATCTAGTGGGCAGGTAACACAATAGCACCAAGTTTATTCTCTGCAAAAAGCTTTTGGCTATAATTTAATTAACTTCATTGTCTTTTTTTGTTGCTGTTGTCCAATAAATTATCTAAGAAGCTTTATAGATACCTTGAAGAAGTCATCCTGAGATATTACGCTGCAATTGGGAAGATGTTTCTGCAAGTTCTTAGCCAGTGTTGTCTTCCCTCCATTTGTCACGCTGAGCCAAGAAAAATCATGAGGTCCAAGAAGACATTAGGGAACATGGAACATGGAACATGGAATGTTCTTAAACAATATTTTTACAAAGGGTATTTAAAACAATATTTGCTGCTTGGGGAAAGCGCCCATTTTCACAGATCATGTTTTGTTTTGGAGGTGAAATCACAGGTTTGAGAGATACCCTGTTCTCTCATAGTAAGAGACTCGAAGGACAGAGCGAGGCAAGTGACAGGTAAGTGAACTGGATACTAAAACTTCAAAATACAGACACTGTCAGGAAGCACAGTCATGTTTTGACTGTCGAAATAGCTCCAGGTTCAATATACACACCAGAGAACGTCCTGTCTATAGAACTGCCCATGATCACAGGGATTGTTTCAACCACACAGGAAAAAGGAGGAATGGCTTATTAGAAGCTGGCCGCCCATGAACTCAGATTCTCTGTGCCATACCTCTCCCGCTCCCGCTCCCGCCCCCTCTCTGTACTTGGGCCCAGGTGGAGGCCCATTACCGCTCCCCTCAGGTCAGTATTTGTTGCCTCTGGCTGGACTGTGACATCTGGAGATACAGGTGCCTGACTAACTTGTGTGTTCTGTTTCCTGTTCTCCTGAATGGGAGAGGCACTTCTCTAGTTAATCTTTCTTTTCTCTTTGGGTTTTTCTTCTGAAACAGTAGTCATGCTGTCCATATTGACCCACTTGTATAGCTAGCCCAGGCTGCCCTTGAATTTACAGCAAAGCTTTGGTTGGGACCTCCTGAGAATTGGGATTACAGTTATCAGTCACCAGGCCTGGCTTATGCTATCATTTTTGCCAAGAGATGATTAGCTCAGTCACATACAAAGGGTCTATGAAAGAATTCAGGCCGGGCGGTGGTGGTGCATGCCTTTAATCCCAGCACTTGGGAGGCAGAGGCAGGCAGATCTCTGAGTTCGAGAGTTCGAGGCTAGCCTGGTCTACAGAGTGAGTTCCAGGACAGCCAAGGCTACACAGAGAAACCCTGTCTCGAAAAACCAAACCACAAAAAAAAAAAAAAAAAATTCAGGGTCATTGTGAAGTTGAAAGATATTACATCATCTAAATTCTAACAGGATATTAGCAGCTTCTTTTATTATACATAATAAACTACAGTAGTGATAACACCTTGACTCGGACATCTACAAGAACTGCACGCTGAGCTAGAGGTGGGCAGGGAAAGTATCACTGATGCTTATTATTGTTTCAAACTTATATATGCTGTTTATTACACTGCAGTGATCTATCGCAAGCTCACGGATTGCTCGCAAAGGCTTTATGGCTGTATATCAGTAAGTTGATTTTCTTTGAATTCCTGTGTTTTATTTTGTGCATTTAAAGTCACCCTGAATAGAGATCAAGATTTCACCACACACTAAATGTTCATAGCATAAAAGTCCTGACTGTACATCTATTGGCAAGAACCTGTGATTAGTTCTAGGTGAGATCAACACAAGGTTCATTATCTAGAGAGGGATACATTGATCAAAAGTACTTGCTGTGAGGCAGGTGACTTGAATTCTAGTACTCAGGAGCCAGAGGCAGGTGAATCTTTTGTGAGTTTAAAGCCACCCTGGTCTACACAGTGAGTTCTAGGCCAGCAAGGGCTACGTAGTAAGACCCTGCCTAGGTTTAAAACAAAAAGAATCACAAACCACCAAAGAGATCTATCATGCCAAACAATAACAACAACAAAAAACAAAGAATGCTTATTGTATATAAACTACTATGTAAACACTTTATTATATCTGCAAAGTAGAAGATACTCATTAATAAGACTGTCCATTTTAATCTTACAGTGCACATGTAGGTAGGGTATAGGGCTGTTACTCTATATACTGAGAACCTTTTATTCTTTAACAAAAATGTGACTTTTTCTTCTTTAAGGAAAAATGTCTATAGATCATGCTGGAAGTTCATATGTCAAGAGGCCAAGCTTCGGTTTAAAAGGACGTACTTTACTATGGAGTGAGCAATCTGTCAAGAAAATGTGTCATTTCTTACACGTATTCTTTAAGATCATATAATTGAATCAGCAATGAATAGAGCCCTTCTCATTGATTCAGTAGAAGTCACAGAGAGGGAAGCACTTTTTGTAGGAGTCCTGCAGGGAACATACTGCCTGGAAAAGAGTTTCATCACAGAGCAGAGCTTGTAATCTATACTCGGAATGTAACCATCCCAGGGGTCAGAAATGCCTCAGGACCCATTCCTTTCCCTTCAGCAAGCTCATAACTTCCCTCCCACAAGCCCTCCAGAACTTGACATTAGGATCTGAGGGAGAGAACAGTGAGCGGATACACAATAGATTTCCCTTCCTTGTTTACGAGTAAACATATAAAGCTCCCTTTTTAAAAAACATTCAAGGTAATAAGAGGGTGCAGAAGTCCAGGTGAAAGCTAAAAACAGTGTTTACAGTTAATCAAACAAGATGAGAATACTTCTGTAACAGGGTGATATCAATACCCCCATATCCCACCTGAGGAAAGTGAGGCTTTGGGGACTGTTTACTGCTGAAGTGGGAAGCAAAGTTTACCTCTAGCAGGGCCCTTTTTTTTTTTTAAACAAAAGAATTTATTGGATAGATGTGTGTAGAAAGTTAGAAGATGGCCGGGCAGTGGTGGCGCATGCCTTTAATCCCAGCACTTGGGAGGCAGAGGCAGGTGGATTTCTGAGTTTGAGGCCAGCCTGCTCTACAGAGTGAGTTCCAGGACAGCCAGGGTTACACAGAGAAACCCCCTGTCTCGACAAGCCAAAAAAAAAAGAAAAAAGAAAAAAAGAAAAGAAAAGAGAGAAAGAGAGAGAGAGAGAGAGAGAGAGAGAGAGAGAGAGAGAGAGAGAGAGAGAGAAAGTTAGAAGATTATAGGGCAGTGATGGCCTACTATGGGAGGCACTGCATGTGAACTGGAGGGCAGGACAAGAGTAGTCTTGCAGAGTGACAAGCACAGTGTTGGCTCTGGGAGCCACAACGAGCCACACAGTGATGCTCAACTCACTCTTCATTTGCTTTGCCTGATGCTGGGGTTAGAACCTAGGACCTTCCATGTGCAGACAAATGCTCTGCTACCCAACTATACCCAGACCCATCTGAGTCCTAAATGATTCCTGGATGACATGATATAATAACACAACTAAGCATCTCCCTCAAACTACATTTTTAGTATCTCAAGAGCTTTGTCAATAAGACACACATGAAGAATGACAGACACAATCCGGTAGCAAGACAAATAGTATGTTTCCAATAGCTGTTTGATGTCACGTTTGCACATCAGCCTCTGGTGCCACAGGTCAGATGACCACACAACTTAGAATGCTTGTGACAGCAGGATACGTGGAGTCTATCACACCAGAACAACACAAACTAGCCTAGCCAAATAGCACACCTGGTTACCCTAAGGGCAGGGGAAGAGGCCTGGACGTAGGGAAGTCTGTGTTCCTCATGTCAAAAGCTAGATGTAGAAAACTGGAGGGAGTGATTTTTTTTTCTTACACCATGCCAGAACACCCGCATAAGAAATGATAATCACCCTCTGCCAAAGGAGTGACCAATCAGGCCTCATCTCCAGTATCAGCTCCAGAAAACAAATGGAAATACTGCCGACCCTCCGCCTTCCCCGGGACACCCTGACCATTCTCACTGGCAGCACTCTGCCTAGGACTTGGGACTCTCCACAGCTTTCTCTACCACATCCACTTGAAAAACCATCTGGACATCTGGAGTATCTCATCCAGCTGTTTATAGAGGAATTACTCACCCACCAATTCCAATGACAAATGTCTTCATAATTGGCTTTGGATATCACACCTTCCTAATATTTCCTAAAATATGTAAAAATAAAATAAAATCAGTATCTTTAGTTGTCTACAGTTAGTGCTGAGAAGAAGTAACAGCTTATAGGGAGGGGCATTGGTGGTCTTAGCCCTACATTACCCTCACTGCGTGGCAGGCCACTGTCAACTAATGTTATGTCTGTGTGACCCATTTCCTTGGGTCACCTTGTGATAGATATTCTTAGTTACTGCCTTGACTACATCTAGAATGAACTAAAGCTGAAGGAGCTGAGTACACCTTTATGGGAACTTTTAATCATTTGAAGTGGGAAGACTGCCTTAATTAGGGTTTTACTGCTGTGAACAGACATCAAGACCAAGACAAGACTTATAAAGGACGACATTTAATTGGGGCTGGCTTTACAGAGGTTCAGTCCATTATCATCAGGGTGGGAGCAGGACAGCATCTAGGCAGGCACGATGCGGGCAGAGCTGAGAGTTCTACATCTTCATCTAAAGGCTGCTAGTGGAAGACTCACTTCCAGGCTGCTAGCACTGGGTATTAAAGCCCACACCCACAGTGACACACCTACTCCAACAAGGCCACACCTCCTAATAGTGCCACTCCGTGGCCCAAGCATATACAAACCATCCCAGAAGATCCACTTTTAATCTGAATCTTCTGAGGTGGGAAGAAACACTTTATGTTGGCAGCCTAGATAACGATCATGGAAGAAGGAAGCTTGCTCTCTTTGCTCACTCTTGCTAGCAAGTCCTTTCCATCACTGCCATTAGAACTTACACTTTGGGATTCTGGCATATACTGAAGACACGTTGAGACATCCAGCCTCATGGACTGAGCAACTACTGAATTCTTGAAGCCACTCTAATAAATCTCATATGTGTGTGTATGTGTGTAATACATATATGTAATCTCACACACGTATATGTGTGTGTAGTACATATATGCAATACATATATATTTTTTCTTGTAAGTTCTGTTCCTTTAGAGAACTTACATTGGTACAGTATAAATTCTCAAGCTTTGCAGAAGTGCAAATGGCCCAGACTGAAATGACATATCCTGTTCTAGAAAGCCAGACAGGATTCTAGATGAATTAAGTGGACATCATCAGGACAGGCTATGAAGCACTTTATTACCAAGAACACAGAAAGGATGGTACATGTGTGCTAGTTTATCAGGCTCTGATGGATAATCTGTGTCATTCTTACTGATGTATTACTGAAGGACCATGCATTTTGCTTTGTACAGTTAATGGAAAATACTGATCCCCTTCCTATTTGACATATTTATGCATATACTTCAGGATACCGCCTCAATTACATAGGATGAAGTAATGCCTGTGGTTGTGACACTAGAAAGACTTGAAGGGTTTGTCTGTGTGGGAACTCTAGTAATTCAGAGAGGACAAATGAGGTGGAAGAACCTAATTATAGCATCCCTTGGGTAAGGGGTGGAAATGGAGGGCTGTGTTTTTTCTCTCAAATCAAAGCAGCATCCCTTCACCCCCATCAGTCTGATGACCTGAGTTACTTGCTGCTGTTGCTGCTGCTGCTGCTACTACTGTTACTATTACTAGAGTTACTTGATGACCTACCTGAGTTCAATCCCCAGAACTGACATGGAAGGACAGAACCAACTGACCTCTGACCTCTGCACATGGCATGGCATTCATGTGTCCACACACACACTAAGTAAGTAAGTGAAAAGTTTTAAAATTCAAGCACCCCAGGTCTACATTAGTTAGCAACCTGGAACTGTCCAAAGCAGTGTTTGGGTGAATTCTGGACCTATCTCACCAGGAAGGAGGAGGTGATGTGAGAAGGGTGGAGAACTGGGTCATGCAGACACAAGGCTGAGCTGAGTGGCCAGTGGAACAGTGAGCAGCCTACTAATTCCTGGAGTTGTCCATTTCAAAAACTGTGCTGGATACACAAGGGAATTCACTCCAGGTTCAGACATGGCATCATCAACGTCTGCATCATTCTATTTAATTATATATTAGAGCCTCTTTAAATATGGTTTCAGGGTTGGAGAGATGGCTCAGCGGTTAAGAGCACTGACTGTTCTTCCAGAGGTCCTGAGTTCAATTCCCAGCAACCACATGGTGGCTAACAGTCATCTGTAATGAAATCTGATGCCCTCTTCTGCTATGTCTGAAGACAGCTACAGTGTACTCATACACATAAAATAAATAAATAAATAACTCTTTAAAAAATAAATATGGTTTCAAAACCAAATGTTGAACAAATTGCAATCAAGAGTTGCTATGCTTCATATATGTGCAGGAGGGTTTTGTTTTAGAGGCCTTTCATCTGGCTCAGCCTGGCCTTTAAATCTCTATGTAGTGGAAGATGAACTATTGTATACTGTATCTCTGGTCTCTACTCTCTACCATGCAAGAGGTGGGATTATAGGTATGTGTCTGTATGCTTGGCCTTGCAGTAGAGTATGCTGTGAAGCGCATACAACTCGGAGTCAAGATAAACTGTACAACTTACGATGTCTCTAAAGAGCCAACATTTTGAACTTTTTAGTCTCGATGTCAGGGTATCCTGTCACCTTGAATCCTGTGTGATATTTATGCAGTGTCTTCTCCTCAGCAGCCAGTTATCATTTCCACAGAGAGGGAGAAGAACAAGCTGGGAGAGGAGCAAACCTTACATGAGTCACTTCTCTTTTTCAAATACATTTATTTATTTATTTTTATTTGTTAATATTATTTATATGTTGCACAGAATCTCACTATGCAGCCCAGGTTGGTCAGGAACTTGCCACCCAGCCAAGGCTGCTTCTGTGGCAAAGTTAGCTTCCTTTAAGTACTGGGATCATAGGCAAGCATCACCAAGAGTGGCTCATACACAGAATTTTAAAAAATATCTTTGATTTAACCTCAGTGAAATGTTGAATCTTCTTCATAGTTGGCTTATGTTTATACTTGATCTATTCTACTTCTGAACACGGCTCACTTTGAATTCTAAAGCACAGAATGATTCCCAGGGGCACGTGAAGAGTCAGCAGGCGGGAAGGAGACAGTAACTCCACCGTCAAGTCAGAGGAATGCAAGAGCAAACACATGTGCTCTTCAGATGAGCTCAAGGCCTATGTTTTCAGTATTTCTCTGTGATTCACTCTATAGTTACCTGGATACTCTCTCACGAACAGGACTAATTTCAACTTTGATCCCTTTTAGTAAGCAGAAATCCCCCACGGGTAGAATTCCTGGTAAGCAAGCCCTGGGGCCATAGCCATTACAGTTTCTGGTAACCTTTGCCCCTTCAAGTTCAATTCACTTTTTTTTTTTTTTAAACAGCCTTCAATAGACTCGTTCATAGGGAAGTTCTTTTTAAAAGTTGCTTTATTACATTTATATTTATGTAGTGTGCATGTGTGTGGGCAGGTGCATGCCATGGTTCTTCACAGAACACATGAACAGGTCATAGGTCTACTACTTGTGGGAGTTCTCTTTCCATCATGTGGGTGCTAGAGATTGAACTCTAGTCATCAGGTTTGGCAGCAAGGGCAGTTGGGCCATTGTGCTGACCCTGTAATTCTTACGTAACCAGTATTTTCATTTTTATTTCCCCTAATATACAATAGGCATATAATACTGAATGTGACATTGTGAGTTTACTTATGTGTGAACATAAACTCTCATGTTGGTCAACTTGTGTAAAGTACCAGCCAGTAGCATAGTTTTGGCTTTGTGGGCAACTATTCAACTCTGAAGTTGTAATAAGAAAGAGGCCAGAGTCAATGCATAAGCAAATGAGCATGGTGTGTTCTAATAAAATTTTATGGGCACGGAAATCTAAGTTTCCCCTAATTTGCCACATGCGCCACAAAATACTATGCTTGTCTCAGCTATTAAAAACGCCAAAAGCATTTTCTTAGAAGCCTTTATAAAGCCAGATAGTAAGTGGGTTGGAGTTTGTTAACCAGATGCTGCAGACAAGACCGTCCTGTCCTGTGAGGGATCAAGACCTCGATTCTCCTGCCAGCAACTAGCGGTGGCTAGTTGCTTTTTAGGAACGTGAGTCCCAACGCGGTTTCCCTAGACGCAATCAGGTTCCGGGTACAGCACAGGAGACTCTGGAAGGTTCCCAGGCCTCGGCGTGTGTACGCAGTGGGCAGTGAGTACTCACCGAAGCGGGTTTGAATCCTCCCCAGGAGGGCGGCAGAGCAAGCCGCAAGAGAGTTTCAAGCACACCACTACCCGCTGCTCACCTGGGTAGCACAGCCCACTGTTTTCACAGCCTCCCCCTAAGCAAGGCCTGGGGGCGTGACTACTGCAAGGCTCCTCCCCCAAGAGAGGGGCGGGGCGCCGGCGCTCGGGAGCGGGCTGGACCTCCGAGGCTCGGCCGGGCTCCCCGCTGCAGCCAATCAGCAGCCTGCGAGGCGCGGCCACTTCCTGGTGGGAAGGCCGAGCTGTCTGCGGAGCTCGCTGGTCCGAGTGTCCCGCATCGGGTTGCGCGCGGGTCCGGAGCGGCCGCGGCCAGCGCAGGCTTGGCGCCCAGTTCCCGTCTGCGTGTGGGGCACCCGCGGCTGCGCCTAGCCGCTCCGTGTAGCGCCATGTCCAAGCCACCTCCCAAACCGGTCAAACCAGGTAAGAGTTCCTCGCGCTGAGCGTGCGGGTCTCCAGGCTGCGGGACCCCGTGCCGGAGTTCCCGAGGAGTGCCCTCGGACTCTCTCCACACTGTTCGCCAGGACGTTCTAGCGGTGTGGTGGCTGCACCTAGGTCGCGGCCACTTCCTCATATTTCGGCGTGTCGCTGTCAAGTTGGAGTTCTTGACCGGCAGGCGAACGGGAAGTGCGCTGTGGCTGGGTGGGGTTTGCGCCCGCCAGCTGCGGGGCCGGGACTGGAGCGGGTCGGGGACCCGAGGTCTCTGGGGAGCTTTGGAGAGCTGCACCGGCGCTGCCAGCGGGACAGCCGAGCTGCAACCCTCTCGGCTCCTAGCTTTAGGCAGTGTCGTTCTGTCATGCATCTTAGTGTTTTGCTAAGGGTGACTCTGGCAAACTAAACTGGAGAGAGTACGAAGTTCCTCAAAGCAGTTTTCTTGACCACTCTTCCTGGTTCACTATTAAAAACGTTCTTAGAGTGTTTTTTTGTGATGTGGAGAAACGAGAGAATTTAAAGGGACTGTTATATTTCAGCTTGACTCAATAAACTCGTGGGAACTTCCCTTTGGATAGGGAATTAACAGGAATCGTAGAAAACGGGAGATGAACGATTGACGAATTCCCAGCCTCCTTTTTCCAATTTCCTGCAGCTGAAACTTGAGCCATTTACATCAACCTTTATAGCCGCTTACGCTGCTTCAGTGATTTTTTTCCCCTTGAGTTTGTGTGTTTTGTTTTATTAAAGTGACAGTCACTTCAACTTCAATAATTATCCAGTTTATTTTTCTTTTGTGGCAGCATCAAGCCCCTGAATTTGAAAATAATGCACACACATTTGTAAAATAGGCATTCTCTGTCGACGTAAATTTTGCAGGGCCGAGAATAGGAAGTGGCTCAGACTGGCTTTGGCCTGAGCAGAGGCTAGGCGGTGCTGGTTGAGGCTGCCTTCTATGTGAAACCTGAGAAGTTTGCAATTTGCAATTTAGATGCGGATGTATGAGGTGGCAGTTTTGTAAACTTAGACGTAAGTCAGTACCTCGAGTGTCCAACTAAGCCGAGTTCTTTGATGGCTAAACAAAACTCTTGATTTTGAAGAATGTGCCAAGAATCAGGTGGTGAGGTTTTTCATTCTTCCAGACACATCAAAAGTGAAGTCAGTGTTGAGTCTGTGAGTGCTGGCAGGAGCCTGCCTTTGTGTACGTGATTGTGAACTTGTGTGTTCATGCACCCTTGGGTGTGGTTTAGGACTCAGCTTGTTACTAAGATTTGCTCCGGGAACTAGTTTTGTTGTTTGCATCTGTGGCTTTTCCTAGCCAGCAAGCCAGAAAACACATAGCTAAACATTTTTACTATTTAGAGAGAATTCTGTCTTCACTGGGATTTATAAGTGAGGCCCAAACATAAATAGAGTTGCCATGAAAATCAGTTTATTTACCTAGTAACAGATGATGAGAAATATTAGTGCCAGTAGGACTTAACGCTATGTCCTGGCTTACTTGAAAACAAAAAACTTTATTATCATATTGTCCCACATGTACTGGGTGCTGGGCACTGGTCTAGTCACCCATAAATATTTGAATTCATTCACTTCTTCTCAGTAACCCTACCAGGTCAGTATCATTTTTATTCCCATTGTCCAGGGAGGGAGTAAGGCACAGCAGGTTAGCTCATCTCGTTAGGTTAGCCATGGGGTGACGATGTATGGGTCATAGAGGAGTGCAACTCAGATGTTTGACTCCAGAATTTGTGCTTTGCCCCTGTGTGAGGAGCCCTGAATATTTTATAGCAGGATAGGAATCTGAAAGAACCAGGTTTCTGGCCCCCAGCCAGACTGCTTCATGCTCCACCATGCTGAGCACCCCTGGTTAGTGTACAGCAGGTGTCTTGGGCTTTCTTCCCTTGTGCTCTAGGTAAGTTACAGGCATGAAGGTCTCCAAAGAAGCCTGGCATTCATGAGAACATATTTAAGTTTTAATTTGTCACTTATTGCTTTGTTGACCACCCCCCCCATCCAAAATATTTCTAAACATTCAAATTATCAGAGAGAGTTGAGGGGGAGGGAAAAGAAAAAGGCTTGAGGCAGAAAGGGAAGAGTAGTAAGAAATGAGAAGAAAAGTAAGCTGGTAGGTATACACATCATAGGCTTCTGTCAAGTTACCAAAAAGGGGCGGTCCCGTGATTCTCAATCTCTTGCAGACAGATCAAAGACTAACAGTAAAGCCTGTAGTGCTCAGGAAATTAACATGTGTTCTTTATTCTGGGAAATAGTTTAATGGCACTGAGATCTGGGACAAAAGTTTCCACAGATTCTCTTCCTGTGTTGGACAGGTTTTCTGTAGCAGTGGAGTAAGACAACATGGCTCCCAATTTAATGGGCAACACTGAGAAGACAGGAGCCAGATGAAGGGACAGAGAGGGACAGAATCTTACTGTAAGATTCTAGAGGCATGTCTTACTTATTTTTTCTGTTGCAATTTAAAAGATTCAGGATTTCTTTTGGTGCACAGTTTGTGAGTATAGTCTACCACAGCAGGAAACTCCTGGAAACAGCTGACCACATGATATCTGTAGTTCAGAAGAGAGAAGGATGTATGATCCCACTCAGATAGCATCTTTCTTTTTATCTGGATGGATCACTCAAACCAGGATGGTGCTACCCTTGTTTAGGATCATTGTTCACAACTCAGTTAACCTAATCAAGGTAATCTCTCCGGGCATTCTTAAAGGTTGACTTACTCTAGATGATCCTCATGGGTAAATCTGGAAGCTTGTCCCCTGTGTGGTTCCATAGCCCATGTCAGGATGAAGCATCACAAATAACAAGAGACATTAAACAACAAAGCATCTTTCAGGCTAAGCAGCCTGTACCCAACAAGGGACCATTGGTGGGAGGAGGTAGACCAGGCAAGTTCTGATAGATCTTACAAGGAGAGAGGCCCCCCATACCTCCTCTCCCCTCCCCTTCTCCCCCCCCCCCCCCCCCCCCCCGGGAGGGTTGGAGGAAAAGGAGAGCATTCAGAGTTGCCCTTTAGACATTTCTTTTTTTTCTTGTCTGCTTTCTTTTCCCCACTGCCTCTGTTTCTTTTTGAGACAGAGTCTCACTGTCTAGCCCTAGCTGGTCTGGAACTTACTGTGTTGTAGACCAGGCTTGCCTGGATGGAATACACTGAGGTCAGTCTGCCTCTGCCTCCTGAGTGCAGAGATCAAAGGGATTTGTCACCCATCTCGGTTTCTGTTTTAGACATTCCTTAATGTAGCTTATATTTTAGGCCTTGCACTGGGCATTGAGAGTTCCCAGGAACTGTAAGATAAAACTTCATCCTTACTTGTTTGGTCCTAACTTAGTTTATGTATCTACAATTAGATGTCTGATTATACCCATTTAATTGTTTAATCTTGTAATTAAAGAAAAAGCAAAAACAACAAAAAATATGTATAGTGGTACATATCTATAATCCTAGCATTCAAGAGGTTGAAGAGGAGCCTGGTTATTCAGCATGTAGCACCTACCTTATATTTTCTATTTTAGAATATTGACAAATAATCACTGTTTAGATGAATAAACTCTCAGATTTTTTCCTCCTGCAAATCAGTTTTTGTTAGGAAAAGAAAATAGAAGGAGTTATCTTCAAAATGCCGCCCGAGTGTCAGATTGAGTTGTCTGGCTGTGGGCTGGGATATGGTTCCATTCTATTTTGTCTGTAATACGCTTGAAACATCATTTTGCTCATTAATCACAGTTTGCTCCTTGTGTGGCATTTTATCTTTTACGGGATCACTTTTGGCCCCTGAAGGTTTGTCACTGAAACCCTCCGATAGTCATTACACAAGGCTCGGAGACCTAGTCTTCAGTACATGGACCTGCCCTGTTAGATCCCTACGGCCTCTCAGTTTGTCTACAGAGCTCTTACGTGGTTTTCAGCTACACTGGCACTACAGGGAGGGTGGCTCTACCCAGCTGCTGAGTGTACAGGACAGAATTTTGTTCTCACGGACACCATTTGAGAAATTCGATGGGATGGCCATGGGATAATACAGGCACTGAATGAACTTTGTGAACTTTGCAGCCATCTCATGTCAGACAGATTTGGTGACAGTCCACTGTAGTTGGAAACCTGATGTCTGACCTTGGCCATCTCCTTCAAATGGCTTATTGATTTTGGTGGTGAGAGGAGAACAGCATAAATACTTAACGCGATGTGTGAAAACCAATCTGTGGAACTTACAAGAACCGGGCCAGGCCTCTGGGTTCTTTTGTCATTCACAGTACAAGCGTAAAAAGCCTTGCTTGTGTGCTCCTTAAATAAAACTTGAGAGGAAAGGAGTTCCTGTCTAAAACAGTCTCAATTGTTGTGTGATCCATCCCTGCATTAGTAATGAAGCACTGGGGAGCGATCACTCGGCTGTCAGGTGTACAGAGCGTCTAGTTTCTCTTATAAATGTGATGCATTTACATCCAGTGGCTGAGTAAAGTCGGAGGGAAAACATTTTGAAAACTCCATGGATGGTGATGCCAGTGATGGGGAAAATGAACATTTCGCTGGCTGCCTGTGTCCGGAGGGAGCAAACACCTGTGTCATGTGTCTCCTGTATTTATTCTGACTTCTTGTGATGTAGGTCCCTATATCCTTGTGAGTGCTATGTATTGGAAATAGAGCTCAGGGTTTAACTTGAACATGTGGCTGGAGTGTGTGTGTGTGTGTGTGTGTCTGTGTGTGTGTCTGTGTGTCTGTGTGCATGGACCATAGTGCAGCTCTGGAGGTCAGACTGCAGCTTGCAGGGGTTTGTTCTCTCTTCTGCCACATGGATCCCAGAAATCAAACCCAGCTTGTTTGAGGTACCTCAGCTGCAGTTATCTCAACCCACTGAACCATCTTCCTGGCCCAAATTAGAGGAATTTAGAGAAAAATGTACATACCAGTGCCAAGAGAGCCTGGGTTTCTTTTGAACTTTTACATGATATTTGCTAATGTTTGTTTAAGGGGA